GTCATTCGAGGAAAAAAAGTTCGTTTTTTGTCAAAGTTTCGACAACTTCTAAATGTGAATTTTTAATACATGTAGCAGTGTAGTAAAGTTTGACTTTTGTAACAGTTGGAAATACTTCCTTTTCGCTCAAAACAAGTAAAATTGATTTGAGCGTTACATGTTTGATTTGTGAATGACTAGGAAATGTGCATTGACCAAACACACGATCTTTGAAAAAATAACAACTAAACGGATTATATACATCAAAATAACTCAATTTGATTGATTTCACAAAATCTTGAACAACAAATTTTGACAAATCAATAAGAGGCTCTATTTCAATATTAAATCCAATTTTTGAAGCTAAAGTTTTTTTTGTAATTATTGTCATATTTTGAAAAAGTTGTTTTGTCCGCTCTTCAGTATCAATTTCCTCTGTGTAACCAAAATAAAACCCAACTCCTTTCGAAACATCTGTAGGTTTTACTTTGCCTGATATTGTTTTTGGTATATAACTATCGAAATAATGTTGACAATGCGTCATTTTTGGAATGTATAATTCTGCTACAATTAAAACATACGATTCAGGTGTATATATTTCTTTTCTACGTAGTGAACACCACATACATATAACACTTGTAGAATATTCTTTTACGGAACGGTCGATGCATTTTAATAATTCATCAAGTTTTTCTCTATACATATGGAGATATTCTATACCATAAATTAAACGTTCATTATCATATGTAAAGTTAATTATTACAGAACGAGGAAAATCAGTTAAATTTTTGTTTGATTTTTTAAACAGTTTTATAAATTTATAGTAAAAATTTGGAGAACATTCTAATCTGGATATTTTAACAATGACATTCACAACTTCAACAACAAGGTTTTGAGAAAAAAAATTGATATTAAAGTTACGCATTTTAGATATATAAAAAACTTTTAATTTTTTATCGGGCGGTATATACCAATTTTTTAACAACTCTGCACGCTGTATAATTTGTTCATTTATTTCTAAATGATTACAATTTAGTGTTGTCGGAGTAAAATAATTAAAATACTTTTCGATTTCTGTTGAATTTATAAGCCATGGATTGACTTTTAGATCTTCAATTGATTGTTTGCATTTTTTATTGACATTTATTATATTCAAAACATCACTGAAAGTTTTTAGATGTAGAAAAACATTCATTAAATATACTCGCTCGAGTTGTTTCATTTAATTTTTAAGTTATAATTTGAAATTATATAGATGGAATATTTAATCGTTATTAAAATACCTTATAGATGTCAAGAAACTTAAGAATTTATTGATGTAAAATAACTGGTTTTATTTTTTTAATTGTTTTTTCAATCAAATTTGTTTTATTTGAAAACGGTTCTAACCTTATTTCATATTTATAAAAGTCTGGCACTTTGTAAATATATTATCTGTATTTGTAATAATCAATGTAATATTATACAATTTAAGTTGAAGTTGTAACTAACTCGAGTAAAAATATTATCTGTAATATAATATGATAAATACAACTATTAAAAATTAATCAACAATAATTAACGAAAACTTAAAAATAATGGATAATCATTTACAAACATCTAAAAGTGTATGAAAACCATTAAAATAAAAATAAATTTAAACAAATTACTATAAATAATTAAAAACAAACAATTTTTGGAATATTTTTATGTGGAATTATTCTTATTATCACATTTACTTTCTTGACATTATATTAACTCATATGTATAACTAACTGACTTTTACACAATTCGAGCAATTTGATGAAGTAAATTATATATGATTGTAGAAATTTTAATAAATGTTTGAGTTTGTTAATCTTGACATTTTTTATATATAATATATGTATTTGTTTCAATATCAAATGTTGAATTTGTTACTTTGTGGCACCAATAGCAAGTTATTCAAATGTAAGACAAATAATAATTTGTCTTTTTAATTTGTATTTTATGTTAAATTGAAATTTTTTATATAAAAACAATATAATAACAACTATAATTGTAATAATTCTTACAACAAACTGTTGTTGAAAATAATTGAGATATTAAAAAATAACAGAATGATAACAATCGTGATTGTGGTATTTTTATTATAAGTATTTATTTCTTTTTGTGATTTTTGCTATTAAATAAATCAATCGAACTCAAAATATGTAATATGAATAAATTGTTAATACTTTTTGTATTGTATTTCAATTGTGTATCAATTCCTCTTGAAACCCAATTGAAATACGATGATATATTAATTATCAAAAAATGGCAAAGTGAAATCACTATATTGTCAGAGTTGTACAATAAATTTAT